TTAATACCCATTGTAACAAGCACACAAATCATCAAAACATATAAATTCAAAAGTTCACTTTCCATAAAAAAAATGCAATCAATAAATATATCTTTACAAAATAATAAAGTATGAAACTCCCCCTAAATAAAAGAATCATATAATAAATGCACAAGAGTGATAAGATATATTATCAAAAAAATTTAACACCAATAATTTCAAGGGACATAACTCCCCCTCCCCAGCATATTAAAAAAATATCAATATGATTCAAGATTTTAAAAATTTTTCATAATGATGCTAAAATGCAAATATTATTCGATAACTCAAACAATCATAATATATGATATTAACCCAAAGATACTAACTTCAAGAGATAAAATTTAAACGACATACCAAATGTTAGACACTCAAATGACTTTAAACAGGATATCAATTTTGGTCCATTCAAGAATATATCAATTTCAATCCAATTATATCAATTGTTAAAAAAAAATATATCAATTGTTAAAAAAAAAATACCAATTGTTCTAAAAAATAAACAAATTTGTTGAGATAAAAAAACATCAATTTTAAGCAATAAAAACAACAATTTCATTAATCAAGAGTTCAAGAAACAAATAAATTATTAGAACTCCCCCTATAAAAAATAATTGAACCATTAAAAAAATTTATTAAATATAAAGATTTTTTATAAAATTTCAAACAAAACAAATAATTTCTTCAACTTTCATATCACATAACAACTAATAAATTCAACAATCATTTTTCCACAGAAATCAATGCTTCAAGTAATCATTACTACCGAACAAACTCCTCCAAGAACAAGAAAAATTTATTTTAAAATTTTAACTTAAACTCAAATAATAACTAAAAAAAATTAATATATCCATCAAAAAAAACATTACAAGAATATTTTCAATATCATAATAATCTTAAAGCTCATTTTGAAATAAAAAAAGTTACCAAATAAAGTGATTTTCCACTTGAAGCACCAAAAGAGAGACATAGAGTTGCCTTTGTGATAATTTCTTTTTTGAACCAAGCAACCATTCAAATTTGAATTTTGGAACCAATCTACAAAAGATTTTCAAGAAGATTTTGGTACCCATGCTTTCTTGAGTCCATGTAGATTAGTAGAATTAACTTTTGGAACCCATTTATTTTTAGTTCCATTTTTTCATGGTAAATAACAAGCATAAGATTTATGTCCAAATTTGCCACAAGAAAAACATAAGATATTATGCATGAATTTTTCTCTTACAAAAAAATTTATGCACATTCATTTCTACATAAGAATTCTTTCTATAAGCATGAAAATATTTTGGTCTATGAGATATATTTCTTTTTCCATAAAAATTATGAGTATTTTCCAATTTATAGCAATTTGATCCTAATATGACATTTAACTCCACAATAATGACATATAGGCATAAATTTAGTATTATGCACAAATTTAGATTTAGCATGAAAATGATTAGGCACAAATTTAGGTACATCATACTTATTCACATCACACTTTGGTACAAAATTAGGCAAATTTTCATTATACACACTAGAGGAGGATTTAACAAAAATTGTTTTTGAAGTAGACGGTGTGGAACTCTCATCAACATAACCTAATCCTCTTTTATCATTACAAGATTTACCAATGTCAATAATTTTATATAATTTTTGTGCACCTATAGTCAATTTCTTAATACTTTTTTTAGCACATTCAAACTCATTTATAAGATTTGCCTCTTTTTCTCTAATAGCTTTAACAAGTTCATCTCTATAAAAAATATCATGTTCGAGAAATTTAAGTTTATCTAATAAAGCAAGTTTTTCTTCATCACATGAATTTTCAATAACATCATGTTTCACAACATCATTAACATTACTTTTCAAGTATGCATTTTCTTCATCCAAATAATTATTTTCAATATTCAAGGCATCTATTAAATCTTTTAAAGATTTAATCTCATTAGATATGCTAGAATATTTCTTTTTGAGAGCCATGTATTTTGAACCTACTTTTTCAAATTCAACTCTAATTTCTTCATTTGCATTCATAAGCTGATCATAAAAGGGTTTTTCAATACTTACCTCATTGTTGTCATCTTCTTCATTTCCAAATGCCATAAAGCACATATTTGCAATTTCTTCATCTTCATCGTTACTACTCTCGTTGGAGTCATCCCAAGTAGCTTTAAATGCCTTACTTTTAGATTTCTTTGAAGAAGATTTTAGTTGAGGAAAATCATACTTCACGTGCCTCGCTTTCTTACACCCATAGCAAATAATATCTTCATGTTTATTGCTCTTTTCTCCTCTTGATTCTTGGTGGGAATTTCTTCTTGAGAAATGCTTCTTCTTAAAGTGACTTTTGAATTTTCTCGTGAGATAAGCAAGTTATTCTTCGTTGAGCTCAAACTCATCATTTGACTCCTCTTGGGTAGATGTGGACTTTAAAGCAATACTTTTCTTCTTTTTGGACTCATCCTCCAAGTGATACTTCATGGGAATCTCATGAGTTATGAGTGAGCCAATAAGTTCATCCAAAGGAAGTTTGGTGAGATCCTTCGCTTCTTGGATTGTTCTCACCTTTGCTTCCCAATTCTAAGGAAGAGACCTAAGAATTTTCCTAACATTTTCCGATGTTGTATACTCCTTACCAAGACCCTTCAAGGCATTTATAATGTTAGTAAATCAAGTAAAACATATCGGTAATTGACTCATTAGTATCCATCTTAAATAATTCATAATTATGAACAAGCATGCTAATTTTAGACTCTTTAACTTGGTTTGTTCTCTCATGAGTAACTTCAAGAATATTCCAAATTTCTTTAGCCGAAGTACACATAGATATTCTATTAAATTCATTCTTACATAAAGCACAATATAAAAAATTCAGAGCTTTAGCATTAAAAGAACACTTTTTCATTTCATTTTCATCATACTAATCTTCTAATTTAGGCACATCTTTACCATCTATTTTCTTCATAGGAATAAAAGGACCTTTAGCAACATTTAAGTGGTTTATAGTGGTTCGGCAAACTCCGGCTTACTCCACTCCCCGAGCACCTCTCGAGATTTTCCACTAAGCACGATCCTTTTACGGGTTCAAAATCGGAAACCCGGTCTTTTTGCGGGATCAAGACCAAACCTTACAAATCGCTCTTTTTACGGGATCTAAAACTAAACCCAACTTTTTTCTTAGGACAAAGATCGAAACCCACACTCCATTCCTTTATTGGGCTCAAGAACGAAATCCAACTAAGTGTGAAAATAAGAATTCTAAAAAATAATTATAATATAATATAATATAATATAATA